GTCATTTTCTTTTTCTTGTCCCTTCCAAGGTTGAAGCTGATGGACTGGATCCATGCTGCTAACCATCCAATTCGAAATACGGGCGCCCGTCCCGCCGTCCGGCGGCTTGGATGAGACACAGGAGATGAAACAGACCGAGCTAGGTTTGATCGCGTCAGGTGCCAGTAGTAATAAGGCCAGGGAGTTTGCAGCGGCGGAAGGACCACACGTGACACGTCCGCACCCGGCTGGATGACACGTAGCCGTAGCCGTGCTGGTGCGTCCCTCCCTGTCCCAGGGCTGTTTATTACCAGCACCCCTGATGAAATGAAAGCCCACGGGGCCTCCAGTTGCCAGAATCGGAACGACAAATACTGAAGTCCAGCTACGTGAACACCATCTACTCCAGCTGGCCTAGCCTCTACTAGTACACCAAATAACCAATCGGAGGCGTAAAAATCTGGTTGTCTTCTCGATCGGAAGAAAAATAAGTGCGCCCATTCATCAATCAGCCAGCCAGCCATCCATCCCTTCCCTGGCCTGTTGAGGTTGCCACTCGTCAGCACACCCAGTCTCCCACCAACAACAAAAAACGTGTCGAGCGCGTGTAGAACGGGTCCGGTCCATCCCGGCCGTCCCACCAACCCACACCGGAGTCCACGGCGCACCGCCCAGTCGTCTCGTCTCCTCTCCCTCCTCCCCCTCTCCGCTCCGCTCCGCTCCTTGACGTTGCACCGGCGGACAGGCCACTGGCTGATTGACAGTTCTCCTACAAGGAAGGAAGCGTCCCCGCCCCGCCGTCCGGCCCGATGCCGAGGAGGAGGGACCGAGGGACTAGGGAGGGACGACGGAGGCGTTGTTGCCTTTTGCGCTCGCTTTAGCCGCGGCCACCCGGCGCGTAGGCGTAGCCGAACCATCGCCGTCGCCGTCGCTGGCCGGCGGGGCCAACCGGAGACCCGGTCCCGCTTGTCAGATACGTACAAGGTGGGCGTACCGAGCGTCGTACGCTGGGAGCGGGACAAGGGGAAAGCATCTGCTACTCCGGAGGGCAGGTCTCTCTCCCAGAACTCATAAATAAACGCCGCCCCGTTTCCCCTCTGACCTCCCTAGTCCGTAGTCCCTCTCTCTTTCCCCCTTGTTCTTCTCTCGCTTTTGCCAACGAGAAGCATCGAGCCGAGGCATCCAATCCAAGCATCTTCCCCCTCATCTCTCCTCCCCCAAACACCATCCGGGGGCAGGCGTACATACCCAGCGGTGCCGACTGCCGAGCAAGGCAAATAGGCCAGCAGCGCCTCGCAAGCGAGCGAGCCCCGGGCCCCGGCGCCGCGGCGCGCCTATTAGTTCGCTGATCACCAGGCTAGTCAACGGCCGGGTGAGGCGACCCTCGCGCGCGCTCGCGGGACGGCGGCGATGGCGGGGCGGCTCCCGCTCGCGGCGGCGTCGCTGCTGCTGCTGCTGCTGGTCGCGGTGACCGCGGCGGCGGCGCGCGAGGAGCGGGGCCTGGTGGCGCGGGTGGAGGGCCCGCCGCCGCGGCACCGCCACGCGTACGCCGCCATGATGTACATGGGCACGCCGCGGGACTACGAGTTCTACGTCGCCGTGCGTGTCATGATGCGCTCCCTCACCCGGGTCCGCGCCGACGCCGACCGCGTCCTCATCGCCTCCGCCGACGTGCCGCGCGACTGGGTCCGCGCAATGTGAGTGCTAAACCCTCCGCCGCCCCCGCTTTTCCTCCTTTCGCTTCGACGCGTCTCCGTTGTTGGACTCCCCTAGGGGCTAGGGGCACTACTTGATAAACCAATAACGAATCCAGATTTTGAAGCCATTCCTAGGAAAACTTTCCAGGCCATTTTTTAGCAGTAATTAGTTCGAATTTTTATTACGCACTGCAAACCCGCGTCGCGTCTCGTTGCGGCACAAACTACTGTGGAAACTGGAGGCCAAGACTACAACTATAAGGAGGGGGTGACGTGTTTCGGGTACCTGGGAGCACGATGATTTTGCAGGTTTGGGAGGTGGAACAGGGACCACCTGCAGAGAGGAAGCTTCTCCTGGTTGCCTTTGTTTTTTCAAATTCTTGTGGGGGTAACTTCGGCCATTCACATGGAGATTGGAGACATATGCATCTGCATGCTTATTTTGCCGTTATATATGCGCAGTACCATTAGTACTTGTTATAAGTTGCTTGTTGGTCTGAGTCACAGAATATGCTGTCATGGATGCACCAGCTCTGAAGCTTTGACTATTGGCTTCCTGTCGCTGGTTGCAACCTGTACTTTTTAATTGTCTGCTATCCAATTACACTGGTCAACTTTCCTTTCCTTTTTCTTTAAATAGTGATTGCACAGTGGGTTTTCTTTTGTAGGGAAATAAATGTTTTCCGTAGTTTGTCTGACCAGGTTCATAGCTAATACTTGTGTCTTTCATTGGTGGTCTCAATGTCAGTCCCAAATGATTAATAGCGATCGGTGAATCTCCCCAAGACATGGCTTGATCATTTCACGACAGTCAACAAAACATTTTTCTGCTTGTTTTATTTCCATAGGAATACTTATTTCATGAACTACGAGTTTTTTACTGCAAAATGTGAAATGAAATGAGCACCTATTGACAATACATGGGGACTTATGCAGGACAGAAGAGGATGGCTTGAGGGTGGTGATAGTGGAGAACCTCAGGAATCCTTACGAGGGCAACCTAGGAGGGATCAACAAGAGGTTCAAGCTGACACTGAACAAGCTTTATGCGTGGACCCTGGTGGACTATGAGCGTGTCGTCATGATTGATTCCGATAACATCTTCCTCCAGAACACAGACGAGCTATTCCAATGTGGACAGTTCTGTGCTGTTTTCATCAATCCATGCTACTTCCACACTGGTCTTTTCGTGCTCCAGGTATGTCCCAAACTTTTGTTGTTCCACTTGTAACCTGTCCGATACAACCAAAATTTGTCTCATTTTGCTTGAAATCATCAGGGCTTGTTGACTTAACTATGTCATATAAAACCTATTTAGTCTAGTAACAGTACGTATCCTAAATTGAACCAATCTCCCCGCATATACAGCTGTGTTAATAATGGCACAAATTAGTCATATGCCATTTACAAACAATAGAATTTGAGCATGCATACCCCCAAAGATGAAGTAAACGTCTTCTCCCAGTATAAATGACCCATAGAAAAGAAAATGCCCACCATCCATGAATAGATTCTTGTTAAACTCACACACTGAGATATGTTGTGCTCAGACATGTAATGGCCAACTAGACTAATGTTGGATTCTTCTTCAATCTGCAGCCTTCTATTGATGTATTCAAGGGCATGCTTCATGACCTGGAGACTGGCCGTGAAAACTCTGATGGTGCTGACCAAGGCTTTTTGGTTGGGTGCTACCCAGACTTGCTCGACAAACCAATGTTTCACCCTCCTGAGAATGGCACAAAGCTCAATGGGACCTATCGCCTTCCTCTCGGCTATCAAATGGATGCATCCTACTACTGTGAGTGCTGCAGCTACACAGCTTCAATACCAATGCACCTGTTTGCGGCTATTGCTTCTGAAAATTTCAACCACCCTTTTGATTGAACATTGCAGATCTCAAGCTACATTGGCATGTCCCGTGTGGGCCAAACAGTGTTATCACATTCCCCAGTGCACCTTGGTTTAAACCTTGGTACTGGTGGTCCTGGCCGGTCTTGCCGTTAGGACTTTCCTGGCACAGGCAGCGCTGGGATGATCTTGGGTGAGTCGATAAAACAACACAGAAGCAAATTCTGCACCTGAGCAGACATAATTCATTTTCTGTTATATCCACTTAACAAGTACCTGCTTACATTTCACAGGTATGCTGCTGAAATGCCAGTGATCCTGATGGAGGTTTTAATGTACATAGTTATCATAACAGTCACCAGATTGGCAAGGCCAGGGATGACCAAGCTGTGCTATAACCGACGGCCTGAGAAGCAAAGTGCTCTGGTGCAGTGGCTGATCAAGCTGGCTGCAATTATGGCTATGGTGGCTGCATATTCCATTCCATTCTTTGTGATCCCACGCACAGTTCACCCGATCATGGGCTGGTCCATCTACCTATTTGGTGCCCTTGCCTTGTCAGTGCTCGTTATCAATGTTTTTCTGCTCCCACCACTTGACGTGCTTACAATGTGGCTCGCGATTGTTTTCATGCTCTTCGTTATGGCATTCCCATGGTACCATGATGGTGTTGTGAGGGCTCTGGCAATCTTTGGATATGCATTTTGCTCGGCGCCATTCTTGTGGGCATCCATGGTGAGGATGATGGACTCACTGCAGACGATGCTGGAGAGGGATCCATTCTTCCCCCGGATTGGTGAACCAGCACCGGAGACTGAATTCAGCAAGCTGTACTGATTCTTTTATGCACAGATTTGAGATGCTTCGTCACCATATGAACAGCTGATTCAGATCAGTTAATTCTCGATTGATTCTGGTGGTTTTCGCTCAGGCATTCCATTGTGTACTCGTAGTAATGTATAAACATTGCCTGCAGCAACCATGATTGATGCAGATACAGGAAAGATATGCCAGTTGTACTGAATTGAAAAAAGAAAGAGCATTTTTGCTGCATGGAACGGGACAGGGGATTGTTGCAAAGTACCTTATTTCTCGCCAACTTGGTCCGTCCAAACTATTTCTGAACAAATTCTTTTTTTGCAATCTCGATGATGGAAACTATGTAAACATGCTATATAAGGTAAACAGCTGTATGTTACAGATATGCTCAACAGAGCTAGTATAAGTTATACAAGAGTTCAGAAAGAAGTAAATCACGAAATGCAACAATGAATATGTTACTAAATTTTGTTTTAGGACGATACTCGATTTGCAATCAGGACCACGTTCAAAAACAGCTTGTGATTTTGATGCAGTACAATTAGAATATCTCAAACAATCATCTACATTACAGCGGATGAGATGGTATAGAAAATGAGGTGCTCTCAACTGGACATGTTCTCTACTGATGGATAAACTAGAAGACATGCCTTTCTAAATTTCAGCATCTTGCCTAGACTGAACTAGTATTAACTTGTCCTGTAATTCTGGTTGCCTGGGAAGAACAATCTTAGCCCCTTGACCTGATGACGTGAAATATCTCTTCAAAATCATCTACAACAAAAGTAATCAGCTGTAACTTTAGCCAGAAGCAATCAGAAACATGAGTAAATAAATACTAAGTAGAAACATATACTAGGTAGCATCAAATACCACAGCAGCATATGCATCAGATTTGGTATCACGGGCAGACTTCTTAACACCCCTGAAAATTGAGGTATATAATCAGGCAAGCTTCTCAGTGATTCTTCTCAAACTAACAGTTTGACACGATTTAATAGTCAGCGATGTGCAGGAACAAATTTGCATTCTTGAGAACTTAAATGGTCAGATTTTAAAATCAGCAGCAAGAGTTGCAGCAACAGTGATATAGGAAACTCTCGGATCATCGCCAGTTTGCCGTGAACAGGATAGGCCCTGTTTGGATCCAAGTTGAATAGCTAGTAGTAGCAACTAAAATTTGGCAAGCCTGTATCCAAACAGGCCTAGGTGTGCTAGCTACTAGCAAAATTAGCAAAGGTGCATGTCGCTAGCAAATGCTAATAAGAGTTAGTAGTATGCTAATTTTTGCAGGATACAAACAAAACCAAGATTTCACCTGGAGATCATGTAATCTAGGGCGTCCGTGGACGTTCCATATTCATCCTGCAGATATACCCTCAAGCCCCTGCTGCCGTGAAAACAAATCCACTGAGTTACGCAACAATCATCACACATTCACACCACGCTTTGAAGCAATGCGCCATGCACCCAGTTCAGAGGCCTCGATGAGTCTGGCACCCGGCTCCTAGCCTAGCTCACCGAAGCGATCCAAATTTACAAGTACAGGCATGCGACGCACCTTTGGGCCGCTTGGACGGCGAGCCTCCCGACGACGCTCCGCACTTTGTTGGACTGCGGTGTCTCCCTCCCATCAGCGGACACGGGAAGCCCAATGATGAGCTCGTCCGCCTCCTGCAATCTCGAGTCGCAAAGCGCCCGTGTTCAGGACACCAGCAGAACCACCATCCCCATTCAGTTTTGAAATGTCAGCACAGAGCAGAAGAGAAGAAGAAGCCAAGCGAAACTTCACCTGCTGCCGAGCCACGTCGAGCAGCGTAAGCTCTAGCTTCTGCCCGCGGAGCTTCAGAACCTGGCGTCATTTCCAACTGTGCCTCAATTTGGAGAGGTTGGCTTTGGGCGGTGGAACTGAAGTGCGAGAGGTGCGTACAGTGAGGGGTCGAGGGAGGGTGATTCCCCTCCCGATGGCGAGGCCGGTGCGGGCGTCACCGAGGTCGACGCCGAGGCTGAACCCGCCGCCGTGCCAGAGCGGGTCGCGTCCCCGTCGCCGCGCGTTCGGGAGGAGCGGGGCGGGGAGCTCACCGGCGCCCTCGGTCCGGCCGGATGCGGGAGACGCCCTGATAGCTCCAGCAGCTCTTCGACGGCGCGGGGGCGGGAAGGAGGCGGCAGCCGTGCAGGCGTGGGCCCGCACGAGCGGCGCCGGCTCCACTGCCACCGCGTTCGTCATGGCGAGGCGATTCGGCGGTCGTTGCGGCTGATTCGTTGCATTGGATAGGGGAAGAAGTTATGGGCCATATTAGGCCGAAATAGCTCATCGTTTTTCTTCAATCAAGCCCATTCAATTAGCGACGGCCACAATGACTGACATGTGGGTCCCCCTCTGCAGAGAGTAAGCTACCTCCATGTACTGGGGCTTAGGGAAGCACACTCATCAGAAAGGAAAAGAAGGGATTCAGTAAGCAGATGAGCGATAGAAAATTGCAGAACAACCAGCAAGCAACAACATGCGACTATGTGAGGTGAGGTGCGTTTCTACGTGTTAATTTTAAAGGCCAGTCTCAATTGACGTTTTAAAGAAATTTCATTCTCATTTAATGCTGCTGAGTTGACAGATTAGTTATGAAAAGAAGAGAGAGAGAAAGTTTCATCTAGATAAAATCCTTTGTCACAGTTACCAACACAAAATCAAAATCTAATATGACAGTCTTGGTAACTAACTGTGTCATGAAACTCCCCATTAAAACTGGCCTTAAAAAAATGTTTTGCAGCCATACACCAAGTCTATGGCGACCAAATTGTTCCATCATTGTACTACCAGCAACTCGGTGGAAGTTGAACACATGTCTGTAGAAACGGAAACTTTGTGCATTTTCCAGAGACTTGGAGACGTGTTTTATGGTTTCATCTGATATTCAGATTGCTCAGTACCACTTCTACAGTATGAATTTGGTTGCTCTCCAGTCTCCACCGAAAAGCAATGAAACCTGTGAGGCAGTATAAACAGCAGGCGGGGGCACACGCGGACATGCCTATTTCACTTCAGCTTCGCCAGCGGCTGTACGCAGTGATGCACAGTTACAGGTCTTCCATTGCTACCAGCACCGATTGCTAGTCACCGGTTGTGCAGGATAATTAGCAGCCATGATGGTTGGACCAGCCTGTGGAAGAAGGGGGAACGCGTGCTGCATCGCGCCAGCCAGATATGCCTCCTGCTCAACCAAAGGAGCTCCCTTACTCTTTTAAGCTATAAAAGCATCTCCAAAAGTACCTAATATTTTCTTTCGAAAATATTGAAGTTTTACAACTCCTAAAAAAGTATGGGAAGGAATAAAGAAGGCCATCTCCAAGAGTTTCTAATAATCCACTCCTAAAATATAGAAGACAATTTTACATCAGAAATCCTATATTGGTTCAGGAGCTCGTGTCATGTGAGCTGCTGACTGGTTTGGAGGAATATGCACAACCAAAGGACCGAACAACATGTCTGGGCAACGCTTGAGTCGTGATTGATGCTTTTTGCCACCCAGATGGATGTCAAATACAGCTCTTGTATCACAAGTCACATTGCAAATGGTGCAGACTAGCGGTTGCTCCCTTACTCGCTCAGGCCTTTGCCGCGGGGCTTGACACACTCTCAGCTTCTTTCCACCACGGCCAACTCCTGTCATTTTCCTCTTTGGGCCATTCTTGTTGCCGTTGACATCCATCCTTGCTTCCACTGCATTTGGTGGAGCTTCACCGCCATCTTTCATCTCATTTGAAGGCTGATAAGCTTGAACAGCAACATGCAGTTCTACCTGTGCTTCAACACTGTGACCATCTTCTGCTGTATGATGTGTTGTGTTTTGCTTGGAAGAACTGCCTGTCACCTCAGTAATTTGCCCTCCAGAAACTGAAGCTACAACATTTTCAGGAGCCAAGTCTTTGTGCTCCCCACCAATGCTGGTTGAACCAAGAGGTGGGACCATATGTACTGCAGTAGAGGGGCCTTCTACTTGAGCCAACTGAGAAGATGTTGATGAAGGAGCACCCATGTCAGCTATAGCAGGAGTCATACCTTGCAGGCGAACCATATCTTGCATTCTCTGCACAGTCCGTTTATGCTTCTTTCCATTTTTGTGCTGCTCAAGGATTTCCTTGCTATTACACCCCACTCGGCATATATCACACCAAGCAGCTGGAACTACAGTACCCGGTGTGAAATTGGTGGTTGTAGCTTGCATTACATGTGCTGGTGCACACACAGTTTCGGGCTGAGCCTCTGATGCAGATGATCCACCAGATGCTCGAATGGCTAACTGCCTATCACTGCTCTTGTTTCCACGCCCTCGGCCTCGGCCTCGGCCTCGGCCTCTACCACATGGTGATGTAATTCCTGCATTCCATGTAAGAGGATGATACATAGGGCTTCCACCTCTGCCCCCACCCATGAGCGTACCTATACCCCCGACCTGCAAGAAAATATAACAGCACCATGGTTAGGTATCTGGTAACATGACTCGCGTTAATTTGCACTGAACCACAGCGCTTTGCAGCAATTGTGTATTGTTGCCAGTACTTTAGGGGTACACAGTTAACAGTTTGCTGCAGCTTACAAACACGAATGTACAAGAATTTACCACCTGTCTTTGTGTGCAGTAGACACGTACAAGTGATAAATAGGAAAAGTTAAAACACAGAAGTCCAAGCCAGCATAATACTCTTCTCTTGTATATATCTTATTCCCAGAAAGATATTTTAATCTTAATGAAGAACTAATCAACAGGAATCTCAAGGAAAGCTCAAAGCAGATGTCAGGCAGACAAAATACAACAGTTTTTTTTTATCAGTGTTCCATTTATCCATGAATTATTGGTGTGATCATGGAGTATGTGAAATTATTAGTACAATAACAGCAGAAACCATGGAACTGTGCTAGCAAACGCTCATTTGAAGGATTAACCATGGACAAATTACTAGCCCACAGTTCGTCTTTCAACAGCAACCTCAACAAACTTCCATGCAACATCTCAATGGCCCAATTCTGGAATGAATTTGCTGTTATCCAATAGTGCCTCACAGGAATAGATAAGAAAAAGGTATATAATTACCTTTCCCTATTCATTCGACCAATATTCTTTTCTACGGTAGATCAACCAACTTGTTTGGCCAACATCACAAAGGGGTTTAACAGTTACAATATGGGAAACCCTTACCAAGGGAATATCATATACAATTATTGGTTAGGTTATAATGACACTGCAGATATCATTGTTAGAGTGCGAAGTTTAGGTCATCCAAGAACTCTCAATATTCCAAGATATCTGCATGTTCCAATAGTAACCTTTTAATATTTCCACCTAAAATATAAGTCATTTAGGTAGCTGCAAGGGAGTATTCCTTAGAGTCAGAGAGATTACCAAATCCAATTAATCCTGCTCAAGTAAAATCCTATGGTAGATATTGCACTACAATAAAAAAAGAACAAACAACATGGATGGAACTTGGAACATCAAAGAAAAATGTAAGTGTGGATGTTCAGTCTGTCCTCAAACTAACTTAACACGAGCTGTGCACAGGCATATTAATATAACCAATACACGACCACAAGTGTGCATGTCTACCCAAGGCAGTGTTTGGTAGACTTGTAGACTACAATTTTTACTGCAATCACGAATATTACTACTTGTTTTACAGGACTCCAAAGTTAAATCACCCCAGTAAGCCAATACCCATAAAACTTTTGAAAAGAAAATAATCTCTTACCTTCCATGGGATAAGTCACCTGCACTTGATTTGCATTGGTCCAAAAGTTAGGGAGTGTTTGGTTTGAGAAACCATTCCATCTTAGGTGAGGTGGTGCATCAGGAGGCATCCCTCAAATTTGGTGGAATGATGTTTCACGGGCGAGGGTAAGGCTCGCCACTGACACCCTTCCCCAGACCCCGCACAGAGCGGGAGCTCTCTGCATTGGGTACGCCCTTAAATGTTTATACTAACTGTGGGTGGGGTGGAGGTTCGGGGGTTTTCTCGACATGCATGAGAAGGTCTTCTTCTTAATGCAATGCCCAGGGACTGTCTTATCCCCCCCCTCCCAACCCCCGCAGGTCGAGATTTTTTTATGTTTATACTAATTGTTAGTTTGTGAGGAATGTGGTGGCGATGGATAAAACTCATTCAATTACCCAAACCAAACAAAAACGTGAGGAGTGAGAAGATGGTGGACCACCCAATTCCACCCTATAATGTCTAAGCAAACTGATTTATACAATACAATTATCTATCCATTGAGTGCATACAAAGAAACTTTCATGTAATACAGGGAAGAGTCCAAAGCTCCAGCTTTAAATACATATCTTACTTCATACACAAAACAGACTGAATATGCCGCAAATATACCGAGTTCACAGGAGGTACATATAATTCTGGGAAACTATACAGATCAGATATGTCGAATAAACGTTTGGCTATAGGTCATTTATAGTTGATTCGACAAAGCAAGAGGAATATAAGAAGCCAACTGGTTCTTTCACACTGCAGCTGCTGTTCGGCAATGTGAACTACTCAATCCAAGCATGATTATTACTAAAGTTTTGTGTGCATACAAGTATATATATGTATAGGCATACTCATATATTACTATAAAATCCGGAATGGTACACCAGTATAGGCTGGTACCGTAATGTTCCATTCCAAAAGACAAACTAGAACGGCCTCTGGAATGGAATTTAGAAGGCCGCACAATCTGCAACACCAAACACACCATAGTGAAATTTTTATGAAGGCCTTGTGGCTACTAATCAGCAGTCCATGTGCATTCATCAGTTACTCACAGTACGGACGCAGAAACTCCTTTTAAAGAAACTAATTACCTTCCCTAAAGAATTATCATCAAAGGTTTCAAGAGCGTGAATAGACTTCCTTTAATGAATCAAGGATTTCAAGAGCCTGAATAGACTGCCATTAATGAATCAAGGAGTAACTAAGGGGACACACCGTCACAGTACCATTACACCAATATTATCTCAGCAAAGTTCAGAGGTAAATTTTTTTCGGCAAAACAACGGTGGGTTTTACCCTACTGATGAAATTTGTACACAGCACAGTAAATAGAGAGATGTAAGCTAGGTGCGTGAATACCGCTGTGGGATGCTGCGCCGGCGGGTACTGCGGATCGTAGTACGGCAGGTGTCCCACGTCGCGCCCGGACCACCCGATCGAGGTGGCGAAGCTGGTCGGCTGCGACAGCGCGGAAACGGCTAAAGGGTTCGCCCCTGGCCCGCCCACTACGACGTTGTTCGATGCTCCCGCTGCGGACGACCACGACGAGGAGGCGGCCGCGGGAGCAGCATGCTCTGTTCCCGGTGGGGGCGGCTGGTGGTTGTATGAGGTGGCAGCGGCGCTGTGGCAGGCGTAGGCGTAGGCGTAGGCGTAGGAGTATGGGTCATAGTTGGATTGCTGCGGCCAGGAGGCGCCATGGGGAGGCAGGCCCTGGTCGTAGCCCATCGCCGACGGCTCGCCGGCGACGATGGTGGAGAGCGGCCGAGTCGGGGGATTCGTAGGATGGGAATTGGGATGTCTATTATTGGAAGGAGGCACCGAGTCTTTCGCCGCCGCAGGGCCCTTTTACCTCTGGGCTGTGCAGCAATATGAGATGTGGTTGGGTTCTCTGATAGGAGGCCCGGCCCATAAGCTTGGAACAGAAGGAGATCGGAAGCACGCGTGATGGGCCATTTCTTAGCCTTCCAGAAAAAATCTCGTTGCGACCCGGCCCGTTTTCTATTTTGTTCTGCCCGTTTTCGTATTTGTAGAATCACGTTTCCGTATCTACGGAGATGAGAGACAGGTTTTCCGCCCGTTACTGTGGAACAAATTTATTCTGTTTTTCATCTCATTTTCAATCTATATGAAATATGTCTAAAAATTGATATGTTCATAAACCTACTAATCACATATTATGCATGTTAACACATGTGATTCTAGTGAATATTGGACCGATAACTTCGTACGTGTATACTATTTTGTCACTTTGTTCATGTATACTCAGAAAATTTGATCATATTATTCTAACTCAATTTTCTAGTTTTTCGTCTGTATTTATCTTTTTCCATATTTTCATATATCTCCATCCGTTTTTAATTCTGTTTTTTTCGAGCCCAATCCTATTTCCACTAAAAATATAGAAACAAAAACGGGAGTGGAGTTTTTCGTCCGTTTTCCATCTGTTTTTATCCCTATTTGTGGGCATGCCATCGTAGAAAAATGAAAGAAAAAGCCTTTTACCCCTTTCCAGAAATCTAATTTTGCCCTGTTCTTTAACAATAATACTAGCACACGGGTGTCCATCCAGGCGTGTTACGTCCAGACGGCTCATTCCCTGACCTGCCCAATGATCGGGCCCAACAGGCCTCCTCCGCTCCACCTTCAGTATGACACGGTTTCTCCAAAAACAAAAAACACAGTGATATTTACTTTCCCCACTACCGCACGCATGCGACCGCCGCGGGGGCATCCACCGTGTCGCCTGCTCGCCGCTGGCCTTCTCCAACGCGGTGGCCTTCTTCAACCATGGCCTTCCTGTCCGGACACCGCAGCCCACTCCGCCTTGCTGCTGTCACGCACCCATCCGGTGCTACTCGTTCCCATCCGTCGCGCTCGCCCATCCCGTGTCGCTCGCTCTTACCCGTCGCGTCGCGCTGCTCGCCCAGACAAGCCAAGCCCGGTCCTTCTAGTGATGGTGGTGGTGGTGGTGCTCGCGCGGCGCTGGCTCCGACTCTGACGGCTGGAATCGTCTGGCCCCGAGCTCCCCATGTTGTAAGCGCATGTTTTAAGTGTTTCAGATGTTTTGTAGGTATGTTTCAAGTGTTTCATGTGGATGTCGTAAAAGTAGATCGGATGTTGCATATATTGCAATGATTGTACACATATATTGCAAGTGCCTGTTCCCAATGTTTCATCTGTTATATTTTAGACGTATGTTGCAAGTGTGTTTATCTTGATGTTGCATATGTTTCACACATATGTTGCGAGTGTTTTATCTGGATGTTGCATATGTTTGCAATTGTTTTTTAAGTAGCTTTCATGTGTTTTTGCATGTGTTTCAAACGCATGTTTCAAATATTTTAGCTGTTTTCGTACGTATGTTGCAATTATTTCATTTGGATTTTCAAAAGTAGATCGGTGGTGTTGTGCATATTGCAATGTGAGCCACCTGCCGCAGCTACCTGCTACAGCTGTTGGGGAGCGGCGCAGCGGGTGTGGAGGCGTGTGGGAAGCAGAGAAGCGTGAGGGAGCGGCGCAGCAGTGGCGCAAGCGTATACGGGTGTTTGGATGCGGGGGATCCGTCCCGACTTTTCGGGTGCTAGTGTTGCCGCTTCTCTAACCCCCCTCAACTTTTAAAATGCATTTCTTAGCCCACCCATGCCTCCCATGCCTATGGTCAGGCCATAGCACTGCACGCCTTGGCGGTCTAACGACTGAACTCGGTATCACTACAGCAGTCCCGTGTAAAAGTGAAGGCATGCACTGGCATCAAGGTGGGCCTTTGGCCTTGGACCGGCCAATGCGTGCAGTGCCAGCAGCCCTACAACACCTTTCTCGCCTCCTTTTTTCAAAGTGTACTCAAACCTTCCAAAAACATGCTAACTCAATGAGACAACCAGCACCCTTAACGCATGTTAGCATTTTTCAAGTCATTCACAAAGGTTTTCAAACACATTTCAAACCGCCACTCGAACCTAGCACACATGCAAAGTTAGACTGCTCAATTGTCATTAGATAATATGACTATCTAACTTGAACCAAGCCTTGTACTTCTCTGCACACCAAAGGCCAGTAAAATGAAATGCCCTACGAGTCATACTTTTGTCTTGCACATTCTATTTCATCTCCATGTGATGCCCTCGAGCATTTAACCTCCATCATCAACTTGATGAACAATGGTCATCAGCATGTGCGGCCAACCTTGCCACTTATCCATTGTCCATTGCATAAAGCCCCTCCGATTCCATCTTCACTCCATCAACACTACTACAGAATGTTTTTTTTTGAGGCAGGCGAAATGGATTAACCGAGGCGAGCATCACAACCACCTCGGTTCAAAGGTCATGGTAGATCGATCTTTCTCGAGGTGGTTCAAATGCCCACCTCTATAAATCAAATAAAAAAGAAAAAAAGAAAAAAATGAGCCCAAAATGGGCTTGGATCTGAGCCTCACGGCCGACCCTGCGCGACGCCGCCATCAATCCGGGCCCACCGCCACCGCAGCTCCTGCGCTGAAAGGTCCTAAATGGCTAGAGGGGTGAATAACCTATAAAAATTCTACAACAACAGTTAAGCCAATTGGTTAGATAATTAAGTAGTGAAGCGAGTGTTGTGCTAGCCTACTAAAAATGCAAACCACATATCCATAATTCTCGTTGCTATGATCACTATATCATACAAAGGCTAAATCACTACTCTCTAAGTTAATGAGCTCTCAAAGACTAACTAAAGAGCCTTACCAACCAAACTACTCTCAAAACTAGCTACACTAAAGAGATTGACTAAACAAGCATATGAAAGTAAGTGCAAGAGAGGTAGTGAGGGTTATACCACCATGGCAAGTGACAATCAATCAATCACAATGAATATCCCAGGGATAAGAAGACACAATGATTTTTTTCTCCAAGGTTCACTTGCTTGCCGATAAGCTACGTCCTTGTTGTAGCGATTCACCCACTTTGAGGTTCACACGCTAATAGGCATCACACGCCTAACCCGCAACCGGGTGCCGCACAACCAACACAAGATGGGGATCCACAAGCTACGAGCAATCCACTAGAGTATATTTTGGCTCTCCACCGGGGAAAGGTAAAGAACCCCTCACAATCACCACGATCGGAGCCGGAGACAAGCACCTTCCTCCGCTAGATGATCCTCGCTACACCAAGCTGCGACAACCACCAAGAGCCAAGAGTAACAAGCGAATCCCGCAGCGAAACATAATCACCAAGTGCCTCTAGATGTAATCACTCAAAGCAATGCACTTGGATGATCTCCAATCTCACCAAATGATGAATCAATCAAGCTAGATGAGTGAGAGAGGATTGGCTAGGCTCACTAGGGTGTATACTCAATAGAAATGGCTAAGAGAGTGAGCCCAAGCCGGCCAAACACCTTAAATAGGCGTCCCCTCAAAATAGAGTCGTTAGGTCACATAAGTGATCATCGGACTCAACTGCACGGTGCCATTGGACCATCCGACATAGGGTCCGACGCCCTGCCGCGGCCACTCCTGAGCTGCCACATGTCTCTTTCAAACCATGGAACCATTACGTGCCCAACGACTCCTTGTTGTGTGTAAAACGTCGTCGTTGGACCCAAGCATCGGACGCACCATCGGACTATGCACAGGGTGAGTCCAACGCAGTCTAGAAAAGCACCGGATAGGGAAAAATGGTTGAACTCTGGTCCAACGCACACCGTCAGACCCAAGGTGAGTCCGATGCCACCACATGTCGCGATCGTGTGAACTTCGCTCTCACCCGCGTGAATGAACAGTGCACACGTTAAATCCGACGCCACCGATTTACTCGGTCCGATGCTGCCGCTGAAAGGTCCTAATATGGCTAGAGGGGCTTGAATAGCCTAATAAAATCTCTACAAAATCACTAGAGCACAAGGTTAGTAACTTAAATGGTGAAATACAATTTGCTTTAGCTCTACAAGGGTTGCAAGCCACCTATCCAACAATTCTAGTTACTATGATCACTAGGCACACAAGAGGCTAAGACACTACTCACTAAGAGCTCTCAAACAAGCTACACTAAAGAGCTCCACTAGGTGAAACTAAACTAGCAAGCAAGCTCTCAAAACTAGCTACACTAAAGAGCTTGCTACTCAACTAGTTTGCAAGAATGTAAAGGAGTGAGTAGGATGATTATACTGTCGTGTAGAGGAATGAACCAATCACAAGATGGATACCAATTCAATCACTGGGAGAAAGCCAGTCACAAGATGACACATGATTTTTCTCATGATCACGTGCTTCCCGGCACGCTAGTCCCCGTTGTGTTGACCAACACTTGGTGGTTCGGTGGCTAATAGGTATCACACACCTAGCCAACACTTGGCACCATAAGAACCTACCCACAAGTGAGGTAACTCAATGACATGAGCAATCCACTGGAGTTACCTTTCGACTCTCCATCGGGGAAGGTACAAGACCCCTCACAAATCATCGGGAGATGGCCACGAACAATCACCAACTCATGCTGATGCTCCTCCGCTGCTCTAAGCCATTTAGGTGGCGGCAACCACCAGGAGTAACAAGAAATCCGCAGCCACAACGATCCCTAAGTGCCACTAGATGCAATCACTCAAGCAAATGCACTTGGAATCACTCCCAATCTCACTATGATAATGAATCAATGATGGAGATGAGTGGGAGGTATTTGCTTAGGCTCACAAGGATGTATCACAGGTGAAAATGTCCAAGAGAGTGAGCCTAAAGCGCCCAAGTTCTA